AGGAAAACCTGGGTTCAAATCTTGTTTTAGACATGTATTAGCTGTGTGCCCCTGGGCAAATCACCTAATCTCAGTTTCCTCAACTGTAAAATGAAGATAATAACAGTATATACATCATGTGCTTAGCACAGTTCTTGGCACATAGTAGGTGCTATGTAAATGTTTATTAAAGGCCCCTACTTGGATTTGTTTTGGCTCTAATCTCTCTGCTTCATCCTTTCCAGACTTCTGCATCTTCTCCTTCACTCTACTCCCCACCAGCAGGTTACTACTTACGAGTACTAGTACCTAGTACTAGAAGGAGTGATAAAGAGAAAAGGAGGGAAGAGGGAGAGGTGAGGAAGGGAGAGAGGGGAGTTAGAAGAACAGAAAGAGGGAGAACAGGAGAAAGAGGAAAGAGGGTAGAACAGGGAGAGAGAAAAAGGGAAAGAAGAGAGGAGAGGGAAGTAAAGGAGAGAGGGAGGAAGCAGGGAGTGGGGAAGAAGAAGGTGGAGGGGGGAGATGAGGGAAAGAGAGACAAGGAGGGTAGAGGGGGCAGAGGAAGGAAGGAGGAGAAGGAGAGGGGGGAAGGAGAGAAGGGAGGGAGAGAAGGGAAGGTGAAGGAGGGAAGGAAGGGGGAAGGAGGGGAATGGGAAAGAGGAATGAGAGAGGGGAGGAAGGAGAGAGGGGAAGGAGAGAGAAGGGAGGAAAAGGAAGGAGGAGGAGGGAAGGAGGGGAGGGGGGGAGGGAGAGATGGGGAAGTAAGAGGAGGACAGAGAAGGGAGAAGGAGGGAGAGGAGAGAGAGAGAGGAAGGAGAGGGAGGGAAAGGAGAAAGGGGAGGGAAAGAGGGGAGGGAGGGGAAGGAGGGAAGGAAAGGAAGGGGAAGGAGAGGGAGAAAAGAGGAGAGAGAAAGGGAAAGAGAGGTCGAGAAAGGAGAGGGAGAGAGGATAAAAGGGAAAGGAAAAGGGGAGGAAGGGAGAGGGGAGGGGGAAGGAAGGAGAAAAAAAGGTTCAAAGAATAAAAAGAAGAGGGAGAAAATAAGAGAAAGGTGAGAAAGAAAAACAGGAAGGAGAAAAAGGATGGGGAGAAGGGAGAGGACAGAGAGAAGGGGAGAAAGACAAAGAAGGGGGAAGGACAGAGAGAAGGGGTGAAGACACAGGGAAGGGAGGGGTAACGAGGGAGAAGGAGGAGGGAGAGAAAGAGGGAGAAAAAGGTGTGGAGGAGGAGGGCCAGTACTTGGTCTTGGCCCCCCCCCCCCCCCTTCGCTTCCTCCTCTGGCAGCCCAGCCCTTGTTTAGCTTCGGCGGCGCGCCTCACCCCGCCCCCTCCGCCGTCCAGTCACTGACCCCGGTGCCCCCGCCGCCGCCGCCGCCAGGGTGCTGACTGAAAACCTGTTGCTACCCACAAATGGCCGCCCCCCAGCCCCGCCCCTCGGGCCAGGCAGGGGCGCAGCACCTCGGGGCCCGTGGTGGGGTCTGTGTCCCACCGAGAGTGCAGGCTCTCTCACCTCGTTGGGCAGGAAAGTCGCCGCGGTCCGGCTCCGCCTCATGGCTAGGACTCGGGGCCTCCCGGCCAAGCCTACGGAGAGAAGGGGCCCGTGAGACCCTCCCATCATCCCCGCTGCCGACTGAGGGGCTAGCCAGAGGGGCCAGTATACAAACTTACACACACAAGGCACTGTAGGATTGTACGATCACACCCAGAGGGCACTTTCACAAGCCCAAAGTAGGCGCCCATTAGCACAGTGCCTGGCACCCAGGAGCACTTAATACGTGCTTTATAGCCTGAACCACACACATGCACCTTTTAAACACAGTGTAAGTGCCAAAGACAAATACACCTTCTAGTCACACACTGTGTGCCCCTCAACCCAGCAGGATCCGGAATGGACAAAGGGGTCCGAAGGGGAGCATCAGGTCTCTCCTCTCACTCCCATTTTCAGGGATGCCCCCGCTAACCCCAAGTAGGGTCCACCTAGGTCCAGTAGAGATGGATGGAACCCTTCCCTCCCTTACCTGTTTAAATAGATGCCCTTCAAGCCTCTCCTTTCCTCCCCAGTGGCAGGCAGTTAGGGGACCTTGTTCTTCTGCGCCCTGCTCCGGTCCAGGGCCAGGAATCTTTTTTGTGTATATAACCAGGGGCCAAGTTTAGATTGGGAGTTAAACACGCATCCAAGAGAATGTAAGTCACTGGCCAGGAGGAGCTCAGCAAGGGGCCAAAAACCAGTCCCGGTCCTCACAGTGGGATCAAGGGAGCTTAGTTCTTAGCTATTACTTCCTCTCTCCTTCCCCCCACCCCTGCTCCCCAGACCTTACGCAGCTAAGGTCTGGCTCTGCTGGAGTTGCCCTGGGCCTTCCAGATGGAAGGCATCCCCCTCCAGGGGTCCCCTACCTTCTGCCTCCTGACACAGGTGTGGTGAGGGAGGAAAGGGTGGCTTAGTTGGGTGGCTTAAGAGCAGGAGCTGTGCAGTGGGCACCAGACTCGGGCAGGAATCCTCTGAGAGGAGGCGGTCAGGAAGAGTGAGCTCTGGCCAGCCAGGCTGCCCCCACCCCACCCCCAGCACTGCCCCTTAACCTGCTGGGACCTGGCCCGGAGCTTAGGCCTCTGCCTCCACCTCCACCTTCCTCTGGGTACTCTGGATGATTTGGGCCAGTGAGCTGGCAGAGGCCAGAGACCCAGAGCGTGACTGTGTGTATGCCCCAGCAAGGGAAAGAGAGTGGGAATGGGGGGGGGGGAGAAAAAATGTGCCATTCCAGAGTGGGGGACTAGGACTTTGGGTATGCAAGAAGGAAGTGATGACAGGTTGTTTATAGGAGTCTGGATTTAGAGCTGGAAGGACTTTCAGAGACCATCTAGTCCTCCTTTTACAGAGGAGGAAACTGAGGTCCAGAAACATGAAATTACCTGCCAAGGCCACAGAGGTAGCAAATAGCGGGTCTTTTAACTCCAGGTCCTCTGAGTCCAAGTAAGTTCTCTTTGCACTAACCTATACTATCTTTTGTGTCAAGTCAACAAGCATTTGGCATTTGTGGGTCAGTTTCTGCCTATCTTCCTCCCAATACGTCTCCCTGTATATGGCAGCTAAGCAGTCCTGTGGATAGGTTGCTAGGCCTGGAATCAGAAAGACCTGAGTTCAAATTTGACCTCAGACAGTTACTAGCTGTGTGATCCTGAGGCAAGTCACTGATGTTTGCCTCAGTTTCCTCAACTGTAAAATGGGGCTGATAACAGCACCTACCTTGTGAAAGTGATTATTAGCACAGGTCTTGGTACCTAATAGGCGCTATATAAATATTTATTCCCCTTCCTTTTCCCAACCCTCCAATGGCAACTTTCAAGCCAGAAGGGATTGTCTGTATTCTAACTTCCATGCAGAGTTGAGGAAACAGAGGCAGGATTCAAAGTCAAGTCCTTTAAGACCCATTCCAAATTCACTGCACCTGCCTCTTTACTTTTTGGTTTTCTTTCTATCCTGGAAGGCAAGACCTCATTCAGGTCAGTGCCCAGAGCTTATGGGTAGAACTGGTGGAGTGCCCTGAATTATGGGAACCAGGCTCTGATTGCCTGCCTGGACTCTGACCCTTTAATGCAGTGGAGGCAGGGAGGGGGCAGACGGGCTATTCTCAAAGGGAATGTTACTGGCCTCCATCCCTGAGAGGAAAAGCAAGGGAAGCATCTTCAGGAAGTCTGGCTTCTCTCTGGTATAGGGGCTGGGGGTGGAGGAGAGACAAAGATTCATACCTGATGCCTGGGTCCCCTCTGGGGTCAGTCAACTCCTTTGACAGAGGAGGTGGTAAGGGAGGCACCTGACCCAGTGCCAAGGAGAAAGGGACAGGCTGGAGGGGGAGGTTCTCAGGCCTTTCTGGCCCCTGCCTCTCCCTAAGCTGTTGGTTAATATTTTACCTGGGTCAGTCCCTCCAGGCTCCTTCCAAGCTGGCTTCCCCCTCCCCCCCCACCTGATGACCGAGGGTAACCCCGGCTGGTCCTAACCTCAGCCTCTGTACACTCTGGGTATCAGTCAAAGGCCCAAAGAATGCAAGAGATCCCAGATGGGGAAGGAGCTGATGGGGACATCATCTCCCTCCCCAAAGCTCTCAGGTCCTATTTCCCCTGAGGTCTAAAATCAGTCCATGCCCTCTAGCCTTGGTGGACTCATGAGGCTGTGAGTGCCCCAGGAACAAGAATCCTTAGCCAGAAGCAGAAGGTCAGATTCAGAAGCAAGAATGGCCAAAAGAGACCCTTTTCTTCTCTTCTCACTTCTTAGATCCCTTGCCAATACCCTGAACACCAGTATAGGGGTCTGATTCTAGGCTCCAGAACTGATTTCCCTTCCCTATGGGAATACGTTTAAGGTTCTGAATCCTGGCTCTGCCCCATGACTAGCTGTGTGACTTTGGGTAAGTCATTTCCTACTATTTCCCAACCAGTTAAATGGAAGGGAGGTGAGCCAGTCAAGTCTTGAAAATGGATCCCAAAGGATGGGTGCTTAAGCTGGAAGCTGAATTTCCCAGGAAGTCATTTTACAGATGAGTAAACTTGTAAAATGGAATCTGCCTCAGAGAGTCATTGTGAGGATTCCAAGGATTGGAGGTGATAACAAATGCAAATAAATACTAGTCATAATTATCATTATCTTCCATCTTATTATTAATGTTTTAATTAGTGCAAAGAGTGGAAGGGCCTTCCCCAAGGTCACATAGCTAGTCACAGGCAGAGCAGAAATTCAAACCCAGGTTTTCCTGATTGCAAATTTGCTGCTCTTTCCCCGCCCCAATACACTAAGTTCCCCCTTACTCTCTAGGGCCAAGAGTAAGGTGATGATTTTCCTGGGAATAAGAAGAGGTACAAAGCACAGCTTCTTGACCCCAAAGCCCTTCCCACCAGAGGGGAGAGTGACCTAACTCAATATAGACTGGCCCCCTTCCTTGGTATGGAGATGCTCAGGTAAAATAATAATTATAATAATGATAATAGAATTTATATAATGCTTTAAGGTTTACAAAGCACTGACTTATCTCATTTAATCAAAAGTCAAAGGTGAGGGATCCCAACTTTAGCAATAGAGGTGGGTGGAGTAGGGTGATGCCAGTTAAAGGATCCAGGGTGAGCCTCTGTCTCATTTCAGTCTTCATTTTATTCAGTGACAGGCAACAGTATCCTTATGGGAGGGGGTGGAGGGCATGGGTGAGCAGGAGCTGTCCCAACAGCCCCTCAGAAGCCACCTCCGTTGCCATCTGTGGTCACCGAGGGGGAAGTCTTGCAAAGGGTGATTCCTATTGAACAGTTTCCTGAAAAACGAAACAAAACAGGAGATATTCAGGTGGGAACTGCCCCCCTTGCAGTGAGGAGGAGGCAGGGAGGACTAGGTTTGGGGGTTCGTTGGAGCCACCAACGCCTTAGGCCAGCCAGTCTCAACCTACTCCTCTGGAATTCTCCCAGAGTGAGCTGGTATAAGGACAGGAACAAAAGGGGAAATGGAGAGGAAGAAGGGGAGAGGAAAGAAGGGGGCAGAGAGAGGGGTAGGAAGACAGAAGACGAAAAGAGGAGGGAGAGAATGGGAGAGGGAGAGAAAGAGGGAAGGAAGGAGGGAGAGAACGAGTGAGGGAGAGAAAGAGGGAAGGAAAGGAGGGAGAGAATGAGGGAGGGAAAGAAAGGAGGAGAGAGAGGAGAGGGGAAGGAAGGAAGGGCTCATCATACAGGAATCAGGGTGATCTTTCCTCAGAGGCACAGACCATGGACATCTTATCCATCTTCTCAAAGCTTCCCATATTCTTCCGGCAGTATTTCACAGCCACCACCATAGAGCCCAGGACCAGAACGGATACCAACAGGCAGACCACAATCACCACAGCAGGATTACGCTGGGTCCCCCTGGGGCTGGAGTGAGGAGGAAAATTCCCAGTCAAGCTCTTCCCTTCTCCCCATCAATGTCATCCATCCCTCCTTCCCCCCATTGCTGCTGCCCCTGCAGGTCCCTTTGAATAAGGTAAGGGGGTGGGGAATAGAGGGAAGGCTACTCAAGCAGAGGAGCGTACTCTGGAGTCTAACCCACACCTTCATCTCTCTTTCCTTAGATCAACAACCTTCCCAGCAGAGCTCACTTCTACTCTGGCTGCCCTGACACCTGCTTGAGTTCCCACATGGCAGCAGCGCCACCTGGTGCCCTTCCAGATGATGACCAGCCTCTCAGGTCAGCCTGACTGAGAGGGGGTAACCCAACAAAGCTGGACCCTCACCTGAACTGGCACTGATCACCGGCGTGGTAGACCCCTCCTCTGGGGTTGTCATACTCGTAGCAGCAGATGGATCTCCAGAGAAGGTGTTGGAGTTTGGGGAGGAGCCCTCCAAGGTAGTTGGGGAGACGGGTCGGCTGGTTTGGGAGGTAGAGTCACTTCGGGAGGAGGTGGTGGACTGGGAGCCACTGTGGCAGGTGGAAGGGAAGGGACATGGGGAGCCACTGTCAGAGGTAAGAGGGGAGGGGGAGACACTGTGAGAGGTGGAAGGGGAACTGGACTGGGAAGTATGGGAGGGGGAGACACTGTAGGAAATTGTGGGGAAGCTGGTAGGAGAGGTGTTCATGGTAGTTTCAGAAGAGCTCTCTAAAGAAAGAATGGAGAGAATGTGGTTGGTTTTTCATATCAGAATACTAAATCCTCATGGGTTAGAAATATCCCTTTCTTCTCTCCAACCCCCACAAGGAAACTGAGAGTTCCAGGCTCCTTCTTCCTATCCATTAACCCTTTAAAATAGAGGGAAGAGTCCCTGTCCTAGGAGATGGGTTAGCCCTTTGGATCCCTGGTCAAGATTCCCCCTACACATGGCAAAGTTGGAAGCACAATTGAGGGATAATAGAAGGCTTCCTTCAAACCCTCACCCTCAATGTTCTTGACCTCTGGCCTGTCAGGGTGGTTTCATAAGTTTTGTGGTCCCAGGAATCATAAAACCATAGAGGGCCCTTAGAACCCAGAATATCAGAGCTGGGAGGGCCCTTAGCACCCAGGATGTCAGAGCTGGGAGGGCCCTTAGCACCCAGGATGTCAGAGCTGGGAGGGCCCTTAGAACAGCATCAACGATGGAAAGAACCTTAAATTCACTTGAGTCACAGGGTAAGGCTTTTGTCACCCTACTGTAAAGGGAAGCCCTGAGCAGTCAGGAGTGAAAGGGACAGCAATCTTGGCCAACTTTACTATTTTGTGGTTGGCTGGTCTCCTTCCATCTCGCCCCACCCTGTTAGGGAACTCCACAGGTGGACCTGCCCCAGGGCGTGGGTGAGTAAATATTTCTTTACCTAATTAAATTCAGCTATTTCCTTTCTTGAGCCCTGGCACGGCTCCCCAGACACCACTTTGCTCCCAGACCTTAAGGAGCGCAACCTGGCCAGGTGTGTCTTCTAAGCGCTAATAAATAGTGAGCTAGTCTCTATATGACACTTATCAAAGTTTACAAAGGTTTACAAAGCACTTATCAAAAACACTATCTAGGTGGCACAGTGGGTAGAGCACCAGTCCTGGAGTCGGGAGGACCTGAGTTCAAATCCAGCCTCAGACATATAATACTCACTAGCTGTGTGACTCTGGGCAAGTCACTTAAACCCAATTGCCTCACGGAAAAAAAAATACTATCTCAGGGGCAGCTAGGTGGCACAGTAGATAGAGTACCGGCCCTGGAGTCAGGAGGACCTGAACTCAAGACTGACCTCGGACACTTGACACTTACTAGCTGTGTGATCCTGGGCAAGTCACTTAACCCCATTGCCTAGCAAAAAAACAAAAGTAAAAATATTATCTCATGTGATCCCCACAACAACCCAGGGAGATAGGTGCTGTTATTTTTTTTTTTTTCATTTAAGGTCAAAGTGAGGCAGGCAGAGATTCATCGACTTGCCCAGGGTCACACATATAGAAAGTGTCTTCAGACAGGATTTAAACTCAGGTCTTCCTGAATCCAAGCCCAGTGCTGTATTCACTGCAACAGCTAGCTGGCTAAGGTCCAAGGATCTGGCTGAGACTGCATGGTTCTCTTGAATTAGCACAGGGACTCTGCTTCTCCTCCCCATCAATCTTCTCTCTTTCTCCCTTTGCCCTCTCTGCCACCCCCCCAACTATTTTACCTTCCATTGCCAAGCAGCCGGGAAACAGATCTCTGGATTCATAAGGTTCTGTCAGGAACAACTGAGAGTCCTGAAGCACGGATTTATTTTAGAAAGGGGGAAACTGAAGCCAAAGAGGGTGACTTGTACAAGGTCACACAATGAGCTCTTTGAGCAAATAGCTGAGCTGGGACTTAGAACCCAGGCTTCCTATCCTCCAAATTCAGGGCTCTGTCCACTGGACCACATGGTTTCACTCCCAGCTTCCCCTAACTCTCCTAAGTGATTAGGAATATATCTGTAATCCATGAATATCTAAGTCTTTTTTTATGATTGCTGACATTTAATAATAATAATAATAATAATAAATAATAGCTAGCATAAATATATATATATAGTACCTACTATGTGTCAATCACTGTACTAAGCACTTTACAAATATTATCACTTGATCCTCACTAATCCTGGGAGGAAGGTACTATTATTATCCCCATTATACAGGTGAGGAAATTGAGGCTTACAGAGATTAAGTGACTTGCCCAGGGCCACACAGGCAGTAAGCATCAGAGGTGAAATTTATACCCAGGTCCTCTGACTCCATGGTCAATGCTCTTTCCACCTGACCATGCTGCCTCCTGGTGGAGGAACCACCAATGGACAGAGGGGGGAAACACTGGAGGACCTACCAAGAAGCCAGTGAAGGCACAAGGCAATGTGCTCTGCCCTGAAACTCTCTGGTTCCCTATTGCCTACGGACCAAAACAGAAATTCCTTAACCTGGCATTCAAGGCTCCTGCTTTAATCTCATGCTACTTCCCTTCAAGAAATCTACACCCCAGTGACATAGGACACTGCCTTCATACAGCCATAAGCCTCTTCTTCACCCGTTGAAGTCTAACCCCAGCAGCTCGGGTGCTATCTTCACTGCAAAATCAGCCCTAACCCTTCTCCCGGACACCTCACTGCAACCTCTAGCCTCCAGCCGCCAACCAAAGGAGCTCTCTTCCGTTTCACCCCATTCCTAGAGCAGTCTCCAACTCCCTCCTTTGCCCTTCCTGCACTTATCAGGTTATCTATGGACACCTTTGTAACCAGAGCTCAGCCTAGGACCATGCACATAGAAGTCACTAGAGTTACGTTTGATGAGAAACCAACCAATGGGTAAGCATATTGACCAAGCTTTGCCCCAGAGAAAAGAGGAGAGTCTTCCACATTTGGGTGTGTGTGTGCAAAGGTATGAGAAGGGCTATGAATGTGGAATATTCTATGTAGAGTCAAACTTGGTCAAGATGGTGGTTACCTTTCCTGACCTGCTTTTTTCCTCTTTTTAATTATTTGTTACAAGGGGTGGCAGGTTGGGCAGTGGGACATGATGATGGCAGTGACGATGATGATGGTGGTGATCATGTTAATTTTGATGATGATGTTGATATCACCCACTATCTAATCAGCCATTCCCTGTAACAAAGCTAATAACAATAGTTAGCATTGAAGGTTTGTGATTTGCAAAGCACCATACAAATGTTTTTTCATTTGGTCCTCACAGCAACCCTGGGAGGTAGGTGTTATTATGATCTCCATTTTATAGATGAGGAAACTGAAGCAAACAGAGGTTAAGTGACTTGCCCAGGGTTACACAGGTAGTAAGTGTCTGAGACTGGATTTGAACTCAGGTTCAGTCAAACCCGACTCCAAGGCCAAGGTTCTATCCATTGTGATACCTAGTTGCCTCTAATATTCAGAAAAGAGGATGATGTTAAAAAAAAGAAGAAGATATCAATAGAAATGAAAAACCAAAACAGAAAGAAATACTTGCTGAGTTGGAAGGAGAAAACAGTTTGGTGCTTACCTAACAAACGTGAACAGTTAAGTCTAGAACCAGGGCAAGATCCAGGACGTCATAGTAAGCAGAAATAAAAACTAGAAAATCTGATCCACTAAGAAACGGGTAGATGGCATGGGACAGGTGATTTCTAGGTCCCTTCTAGCTCTCAGTTTGTGAGTCTAGGTTGGCCAAGTCTTGGGGGAATGGCAGCCTGTCTTGTGCCATTTAGGATGACAGAAAGAAAACGATTTAAATTGCAATAGCCAGTTGTTCGACACCAAGCAACACACTTCCTGGAGAGGGTTCACAAGTAGCCAGGGAAGCTGCAGACATTTTAAAGAAAGTCTGCCTTGGGAAAGGAAGAAGGACGAGATGAAGTGGGAATGATTCCTTCTACATCATCTACATTTTGTGGGGTGGAAGGAACGATGCGAGGAGTGGAGGGACATCTCTGGCAGGCTAGGCCAGACCCCTACTCTCGCCCTAACTGCTAACCCTTCAAACTGCCCAAGGGTCTAGCTAAGAGAGGGCGCCCCCAGTTCCCAGCCCCTACCTCCAATTTCCAGGAGAGCAGCAGCAGGGCGAAGAAAAGAGGCCGGTCGGTCATGACTAGGAGAAAGATTCCGGCCGAGGCCCCAGCTGGGGAAGGGTTCCGAGCTCCCAGTTTCGGGATGCCTGAGTGCCTGCGGCGAGTTCCTCTTAGGTGAGCCACTTAACCCCCGGGCTCCAGCAGGCCCGCAGCCGCGCAGTCCCACCTCCCCACCTGCACACCTGCGGGCAGGCGCTGCCCTCTGGCGCCGGGACACCTCCTGAATTGGAGTGGGATGCAGCCTGGAGAGGTGCTGGTGGAGGCGGGGTTGTCCAGAGGGAGGGGAAGGTAGGGCGGGAATGGGGAAAGGCCCACCTGGGGGAAAGGGCGGAGCCAGAATTTCAGACCTACCCAGCCTTTCCTTGGAGGTGCCTGGGAGCTCAGCCTAGCCCCCTAAGAAGGAAGCGCGAGAGCAGCACAGCTGTAATAATTAGAGCAGCTCACTGCTTTAAGGGCTACAAAAGGACTTTCTTCACAAGGCCCCCCACCTCCTACTAAGTCCACTGAAAGCGCTATATGGGGAGGTGCAGGCCCCTCAGTCACCCACTAGGGGTGATTTTTAGGTATCCCATCTTTCAGGAATGGCCTGGGATCATAAACTTTGAGCTGAAAATGACCTTAGTTCATCCACTTAGACCCATTCATTTTGTTGTTGTTTCCTCCTGTCCAATTTTTAATATTTGGGGTTCGCGTGACAAAGATACTGGAGTGGTTTGCCATTTCCTTCTCCAGCTCATTTTACGGATGAGGAAACTGAGGCAAACAGGGTTAAGTGACTTGCCGTTGGTCACACAGCTAGTAAGTATCTGAGGCCAGATTTTAACTCAGAAAGACTCCAGGCAGGGCACTCCATCCACTGCTCCACCTGGCTGCCCTACTCACTTTACCGAGGGGAAATGACTTGTCCCAGGTCACATGGGGAGGTAATGGCAGAGTGTGAATATGAACCCAGGGCCTCTAGGCTCCAGTACCAGTAATTTTTTCCACCACATCACATTGAGTCTCTTATTTCCAACCATAGTTTCTCCCTCTTCCTGCTTCACTTCCTCTAACTCTTTAGGGCACCTCACCCTTCCCCAGGGAGGCCCTAAGAGGAACACTCTTACACTCCTGGAGCCAGATCAGGGAGCTTCACCATCTACTAGGGAAGACTTATGTATGCCTTCACCAGTCATACATCTCTTCTCCCATAGAGAGGGCATCTCTAGAGATAATCCAGGTCCCTTAAATATCCAAGGACTACCCAAGGGCTTCAATCCCCTCTAAGGCAGACCCAGGCCCTTCATACCCTCTGGGGAGGTACTAGGCTCCTTATAGCCTTTTAAGGTGCCTCATATACCCTAGAGAGATCATGGAGACCTCACACCCCTTAGGGACATCCTGGGCCCCTTGATTCTCCTAGGGACATCCTCTGGAGTTTCATGGGTCCTAAGGACTCTCAGGCCTCTTAAAAGGGGCAGCTGCTCTGAAGAGGATAGAGTGAGGGATCTGGAATCAGGAAGACGAGTTCACATCTGGCCTTAGATACTCTGTGTGACTGTGAGCAAGTCACTTAACCTCTATCTGTCTCAATTTCCTCAACTGTAAACTGGGAACAATATCGGCATCCACCTCTCAGGGTTGTTATGAAGATGAAATGAGAAAATATTTGTAAAAAAGGTTTAGCTGAGGGGGAGGGGAACCTGCGGCCTTGAGGCTGCATGCTGCCCTCTGGGTCCTCAAATGCCGCCCTTCACTTCACCTGAAGTTTGGATTCAGTCCAAGGGCTGCACTTGAAGACCTAGAGGGCCACATGTGGCCTCAAGGCCTCAGGTTCCCCACCCCTGCCCTAGGATATCCTGTATCCCTCACAAACCCTAAGGGTAGCTTCCAGTCCCTGGGGAGCCCCATTATATCCCTTAGAGATGGCTCCCGGCCCCTTATACTCTTAGGTTATTCACTGTGGGAGGCCATGGACTTCTCATAACCCCAGGGATAGCCCTGGTAGCCCCGTGCCTTTTAGAAAAGCCCTCTGCCATCCTCACAACAGTGAGACATCTTTAGGGCCCTGTATCCTTTGTAAGGTCATGCCTTTAACGGTTATCCTGGCTTCCCTTTGCACATTCTAGGAACCCCGGACCCCTGAAACCAATTTGCATGGTGGGTAGAGCACTGGCCACCTGACCTCAAATTCAAACCTGCTGCAGACACTTACTAACTGTGTGACCCTGAGTAAGTCACTTAACTTCTCTCCGCCTCAGTTTCCTTATCTGTAAAATGTACGAAATAGTACTACCTCATAAGGTTGTTGTTAGGATCAAATGCGACAATATATGTAAGGTGATTTGCAAAGCTTGAACTCACTATAAATTCTAGCTATTATTGTTATTTTCCCAGTGCCTTGTACTGCTCAGGGCCTCTCACAGTCGCAAGGGCTCTTAGGGATGGCCCACGTCACTTCCATTTTCCAGGGCCTGTAGGAACCTTCAAGGGATGTCCTTTGCCCTCTAAAACTCTTTGGGAAAATCTGGGCACCTCCCACCCTCTGCGTGGGCCTGGGCTTAATTCATATCCCTAGGGAAAGGTCTGTGCCCTCAGGCTACCTTGAGGACATACTAGTCTCTAAGGATAATGCTGGGCCCTTGTGTTCCTTAGAGATGCAGTAAGACCTTCACACAAATCTAGGACCAGCCCTGGCTTTATCACTTTCCTTTTGGGATGGCTCAGGTTGCCCATGTCCTCTAGGTATAGCCGTGGGTCCCTTACACCCAGAAGGATAATCCGAACCCCTCCCACTCCCTACAGACAACCTCAGCATCGCTTAGCTCACATAGCTTTGTCAGGCCCATTACACTCCCCAGAGACACCCTGAGCCCCTGAGAATACTCTGGACCCCTTAGGGTATCCAAAGCACCACTCTCCGCTAAAGATAGCTCAGGTCCTTCATCTCTATAGCGATGTCCTCAAAAGGAATGGCCACAGATAAAGATAGGAGGTGCTGGGAACGTAAGAGTTCTTGTTCTACCACCCACCCACATCTATCATTAGACAGTGATTCATTTGTCAGTCAGAAAGGATCTTAGAGTATTGAATTTCAAAACTGGGCAGGCCCCTAGCATACAAAATATGGAGTGTCAGAGCTAGGAGAGGCCTTAGAACATGGAACATCAAGATAAAACGGAAAGTACTAGACCTAAATAAAGTTAGGAGAGACCCGAGTTCAAATAGAAGCTTTACTAATTAGTAGATATATGAGCACAATCAAACCGAGTGACTTGACTCTCTCAGACTCAATTTTCCCATGTGTAAAATGGAAATATTAGCACTTGCAACTCTCCAGGGTACAGGGCAGGCATTGTTTTGCACTGGTGAAGGGAGTCTCCTCACAGGGTCTAGAAGGAAATAAAAGGCCTAGTCCAAAAATATTTATCCAATCTATTATGGGACTATGGCTTGACAGGACTGGAAAGGACTTTAGAAATCCTTGAGATCACTTGGCTCTAAAATGGAAACCAGGATAGGATTCGAAGGGAGCTGTGAAACCATGATACCATGACCACAAGGAGTGGGTGGTCAACCAATTGGAAAGTGGAAAGATGGGTTGTAGCATCCTACCCTCCCCAGAATGCCCAATAAGAGGCTTGTCTCCAACATAACTCTACCATCCCCCTTTGCCCATTGTGACTCAACTGTCCTACCCCACCCCCTTGCCTCCCAGATCAAAATGGGGCTGTGGTAGGCACCCCTCAGTGGATGGCTCAAAGGTAGCAGCTGGGTTGTGATTTGCATTGCAGATGTCATTCCATTACCTCTTTCCCCAAATCCACCCCTTTTCTGACCCTTATCCCAATCAAAGACACCACTATCCCTTCAGTTACCCAGGCTCACACAACCTCATGTCATCCTTGATCACTCCTCACCCAACATAGCCAATCAATCATCAAAACTTGTAGTTTTTACTTATAAAGCCCTTCTTTTATCTGTTACCTTCTCTATACAGGCATTCCTTAGAGATATTGTGGGTTCAGTTCTAGACCACCACAAAAAATGAAATATCGCAATAAAATGAGTCACACAAATTTTTTGCTTTCCCAGTGCATATACGCTGTACGTAGTCTGTTAAGTGTGCAATAGTATTATGTCTAAAAAAGACCAATATACACACCTTAATTAAAAATACTTTATTGCTAAAAAGTGCTAACCATCATCTGAGCCTTCATCGATTGTAAACCTTTTGCTGGGAGAGGGTCTTGCCTCCATGCTGCTGGCTCCTGGCTGAGTGGGGTGGTGGTTACTGAAGGTGGGGTGGCTATTTCTTAAAATAAGACAGCAGTGAAGTTTGTCGCATCTGTTGACTCTTCCTTTCATGAAAGATATCTCTGTAGCAGATGACGCTGTCTGGTAGTATTTTAGCCCAGTAGAACTTCTTTCAAAATTGGAATCAATCCTCTTAAACCCTATCCCTGCTTTGTAATTTTTATGAATATGTATTTCTATTATTAATTATATAATGATATATAATTATAACTTAATCAATTTTATGTAATATTATTTATTAATATTATTTAATATTGCTGTGTCTCAGAGAACAGAGAGGGAGAGAAATGGGGAACGGTAAGTTGATGGAGCAGTTAGAACACACACATTTTTCCGTTAAGATCACCATTTTATATGGGCATGGTTTGTGGTGCTCCAAAACAATTGCAATAGTAACATCAAAGATCACTGATCACAGATCACCACGACAGAGATAATAATAATGAAAAAGTTTAAAATATTGTCAGAATCATCAAAATGTGACACAGGGACACAAAGTGAGCAAATGCTGTTGCAAAAATGGAGCTGATAGACTTGTTCAATGCAATCTTGCCACAAAACTTCGATTTGTAAAAACAAAACAAAACAAAACAAAAAACAAACAAAAAACCCGCAATGTCTGCGGAGCACAGTAAAAATAAGTCTGTGCTAGTCACACAGCCACCATCTTGGTGGAGTGTGAATCTCTTATCTGGACTATTGCAATAGCCTCTTCCTCATTTCTCTTCACTCTAATTCATTCTCCACATAGCTGCCAAAATGATTCTCCTAAAGTATAAGTCTGACTATGTCACTCACACACTCAGTAAACTCTGATGGCTCCCTATTACCTCAATGATCAAATATCATTTCATCTTTTACCTCATCCTTTTTATTTTCCATTTTTGTATACAATGTACATAATTATTAGCACAGTAGTAGATCTATGGGGCAGGTAGGTGTCAAAATAAACAGGGCACTGGCCTTGGATTTGGGAGGACCTGAGTTCAAATATGGCTGTGTGACCCTGGACGAGCCACTTAATCCTGTTTGCCTCAGTTTCCTCATCTGTAAAATGAGCGGGAGCAGGAAATAGCAAACCACTCCGGTATCTTTGCCAAGAAAACCACCAATGGGTTCATGAAGAATCAGACAAGACTGAACAGCAAGAAGTGCATCTATAGACATTTTAAATAAATATATACATATTAGTTGCATATACTAAAAAACTTTCTACTGATAGGATGCCAAAAATGTTTGGAGACATGGCTAATATGGAAATGTTTTACGTGATTACACGTATATAACCCATATGAAATTGCTTACTGTCTTAGGGAGGGGGGAATTAAGAGAGGGAGAGAAGAAATTTGGAATTAAAAAATTTTTTAAATTAATGTTAAAAATGGTCTTTACACGTAATTGAAAAAAATAAAATACTATTAAAAAGTTTGGATATTGTCCATCCAAATAAGGGCTAGTTACCCCCCCAAAAAAAATTCTGCTCTATTTTTATTTTATGCATTTTTTTGTATTTTTAGAATTTCTTTTTACTGGCATGATTATATATACCATTTAACAAAAGAAAATTTTCACTGTCTGCATTTCTTTTCTGGCTCTTATTCCTTTCATTTCATGATTACTTCTGAAAATAATTTTTCAAGGTTTTGTGGTCCCCCCCACCCCCACCCCATGATCATTTAGCATTTCCTTGAATACCTCCAGTGAAAGAGAGCTCACTACCTCCCCGTGCAGCCTATTTGGGGGATGGTTTTCATTGTTACAAAGTGTTTCCTTTCCTCAAGCATCAATGTGCCTCTTTGTTACTTCTAACCATTCCTCTAAGTCCTGTCCCCTGGGACAGGCAGAACTCTTTCATGTAATAGCCCAGCAAATATCAGAAGATAACTAAAATACCTCCTTTAAATTTTCTGTTCTTCATGCTAAACATCCTGGGTTCCTTCATCTGATCTTTAGGTGATATGAGACATCCTGAGGTAGGTGGCGCCATAGTGCATAGAGCTCTGGGCCTGGAGTCGGGAAGACCTGAATCCAAATGTGACCTCAGACACTTACTCCCTGTGTGATCCCGGACAAATCATTAAACCTCTGTCTACCTCAGTTTCCTCAACTGTAAAATGGGGAAATAACAACACCTACCTCCCGGGGATGTTGTGAGATTCAAATGAGATAATATTTGGAAAGTGTTTAGCACAGTGACTGGCGTATAGTAGGCTAGCCAGCCAGTCAACAGCCATTCATTAAGAGCTTACTATGTACCAGGCACTTTTCTAAATGCTGAGAGTATAAATCCAAGCCAAAAGAAAGACAGTCCCCAGCTCCTTCAAGGAGCTTACATTCTTTTTTTTTTTTTTTTTGGTGAGGCAATTGAGGTTAAGTGACTTGCCCAGGGTCACACAGCTAGTAAGTTTCAAGTGTCTGGTATGAGAAAGGAGCTTACATTCTAATGGAGAAGACAACACATAAAAGAGAAGCTGAGAAAGGAGAGGGGAGTTGGGGTGTAGGGCCGGGGTGGGGGGAAGGTACTTCTTGGGGTGTGTGTGTGGGAGGGGAGGAAATGATGCAGAAATTCAGAGAATTTCAGCCTGCTAGAAAATGTCCGGCCTTAAATGGAGGTTCCAAGAGAAACCCTCTACCGTCTAATCAGAGGGAAGGGCCCCAGAGCCAGAGGGTACTGATAAGGTGGAAGGGAAGGGCTTCCTGAAGCATGATGGAGTCCAGAGGAGTGGGCATTTAATAAATGAAGTAGGCACTTAGTAAATGCTCATATCCTTTCGAAAATGTGATCCCAAGAAATAAAAGTATCTCTCCATTTAGGGTCTGACCAAGCATAGAGAGACCAATGGGAAATAGCCCCCTATAAGGGAAGGAGCATTGGCTCCAGAATCAGAAGGCCCAGATTCAAATGCTACTTCCAATGCCCACTACTGGTAATTTCTTGGGCAAGTTTCTCTACAATTATAGCTTTCAGTTTCCTTATCTGTAACATCTGGGAATTGGAGTAATTGACCTTTGAGTTTCCTTTCTGTCCCAGAACTTTCTGAATACAATGCATCTCTTTAACCAGACTAATATCGTATTGGCCACCATCTTGGCCTCACTATCATACTGGTGACTTCAGTTGGGCTTGGAATACATTGAAGTCCTCAGATCTTTTTCTGACAAATTGCCATCCAGACTTGTTTCCTCTTATATAAGAGAAATTGATTTTTTGAACCTAAGAGCACAACTTTTCATTTATTCTCATTCAAATTTGATCTTATTAGATTTAGGCCAGTATTCTAGCCTTCTGATATCTTCTTGGGATCCTGATTGTTATCTAACACCCTGGCTATCCCTCCTGGTTTTGTGATATCTGCAAATTTGATGAGCATGCCATCTCAAAGTCACTGATAAAAAATATTAAACAGCCCAGGGGTAAATAGATCCCTGGGACATTCCACTGGAGACCATTAATGAATACTCTTTGATTTTAGCCATTCAGTCAGTCTTGAATCTAATCAAACTATTACTAGGCCACATCTCACCATCTTGTTCATAAGAATAGCATGAGAGAATTTGTGTATGTTTTCTGATTTCAGAGCCTAATCTTTTTTTGTGAAAAGCTGTGTTTGTTCTGGATATATCCCTTCCTCCCACCCTTTTTTGAAATTGTCTATGCCTGGAAACTTTCATGCTAGAAATATCTATACCTCATGCACTCTCCATTATTGATAGATCCCAACTCATCGCTTCACAGGTGGGACATGAAACAGCTGTAGCCAAGGAAGACTCTTTCACTCTCTCTAATCCAAGAGTGGGGAACCTGCAGCCTTGAAGCCACATGTGGCCCTCTAGGTCTTCAAGTGTGGCCCTTTGACTGAATCCAAACTTCACAGAACAAATCCCACCCCCCTTTTTTTTTTGTTCTGAGAAGTTTGGATTCAGTCAAAAGGCCACACTTGAGGACCTAGAAGGCCACATGTGGCTTTGAAGTTGTAGGTTCCCTACCCTTGCTCTAACCCCTCTGGATCCTGTCTGTATCCTGGAGGTACTCTGTTGTGTGGGATGGACCTAAGTGTTCCTGAACCAAAGTAGAAGGGGAAACAGGAGTCTTTATTGGATACAGATGGCACTGAATGCTAAACTCTTACCCCTGGGGCCACGTCCCTCTCTTAAGACTTCTTCTGTGGGGTATCAGTAGGATTAAAGAAGGAATTAGATTATTCTAGGGTTGCTATATTATTATACCTCTAAAGGTAATGAGTTTGTATCTATTTGTGTATGAGTACAGAGAATGGGATTCCCCCCTTCCTAGTTCTTTATGTTGCTTCATGTCTTAATTAAATGCTTTCTTACTATGAGATTTATATGTGCCATGTAAGATCTGGTAATGGGGTGTAGAAGACAGGGGCTTAAACTGAGAATTGTATAGTTGACCACGCAAAAGAGCCACACTGACCCTAGGGATAAACAAGGGATTCCAGAATTACATAGGATTCCCATTCCCCATGCCACATTTCTCTGACTTTTACTGGGTGATCTCTCACATTATAGTGATTCTGAAGACACAGCAACCTACCTTGTAGGACAAGCAGCTGCTTGAACATCTTTGAATGGTGAACTGGGACTTGAGGCCAGAACTTTATCATTGGACCTGTGTTTCTGGTATAGAGGGCAGGCACCACCCACAGGTAAGATGATATGGCTACAGTCAGTTTTCCTGTTTTATGATGCACCTGTCTCTTACCTGGGCAGTGGAGGAAGGAAGACAAGTGGGTGAGCCTCTTTCATTGCCCACGTGCTTCTGGAAGAGGCAAAGAATGACTCGGTGCGATCTCAGCATTGGTCACCAGGGGGCACTCTGAGCTCAGGCTACTAACCCTAGGCCTCACCCCCTACACGAATAAATTTAGGCTACCAGTTTGCACTAATGGGCACATACTGGGAAGCATTCTCTTCTTCCTTACATTACCCACTTGGGTTCTATTCAACTTGGCCTAGGGTTTAAGGTGGAAAGTCAGAGCCCTTTCTGGACTACCCCACACCCAACTCCTGACTCACATTTGCCTTTGGGTTCCTTAGGTGACAATTCCACCAGGTGCAAAGTCCTTTGGCTGTGCAATCTTAAAACTTAATGAGTTTACTACCTCCAACAGTCAGAGAACGAACACAACTAGCCCAGTCATTTACTGAAATGGCAAACAGAACAGCAGTGACAAAACAGTGCTCTCATAAACTTCTCCCCAAAATACTTTCTGGTAGGGGCAGCTAGGTGATGCAGTGGACAGAGCACTGGCCCTGAAGTCAGGAGGACCTGAGTTCAAATCCAGTCTCAGACCAAACACTTGACACTTACTAGCTGTGTGACCCTGGGCAAGTCACTTAACCCCCAATTGCCTAAAAAAAAAACCAAACAAAAAAAAAAACTTTCTGGTAGACAGGCAGAGTCATAGGTAATACATGTGGCCAAGGCCTACCTCCACCTACCACACAATTCCTGTCTCTGATCTCACAGGATCCTAACGACCTCGTGCTGCTTATCCCCGGATGCTGCACTTATGTTGGCCAAATCTCTCCGTCAGGTTCCCTAGGCTTATTTTTCTCTCTAGCTCCCCTCTCTGCAACAACCCTCTCCTGGGCAAGGTGCCTCCTCTGCAAGGATGTACTGGGAAACGGTTAACAACCAGCTCTCCGGGGGACCGTGCAAGCACAGCACACCATTAAGCTTAGTTTGCATTATTAACATTTTCTCTGTCGCTTTCTTAAATCTCGACCAGGGTTCAGCAAACTAGAGCCAGGGGGCCAAACTAGCTGGCCGCCTGCAAGCTAAGCATGGTTTTAAAGAATGGTATATGTAGCTGTGTGACCCTGGACAAGTCACTTAACCCCATTGCCTAGCCAAAAACAAAACAAAACAAAAAAACAAACAAACAAACAAATAAAGAATGGTATATGGTCTAGACCAGTGGTATCAAACTCAAATAAGAATGGGGAAGGGGGAGAAGAACTGAACAGTACATACGGATTCCTGCTGCAGGTCATTGATTTTGTTTTAAAATTTATAATATTATTAAATAATTAAAAAATAATATTATTATAAAATATAATGTTTTATTGTATTTCGTAAAGTATGAGCATTGATGTTGCATTTGACACCTATGGTATGTTCAGTAGTGACCGATTTTTTCTTTTTCTTTTTTTTGTGACTGATTCTTTTTCATGACCCTATTTGCGGTTTTCTTGGCAGATATACTGTAGTGATTTGCCATTTCCTTGTCCAGATAATTTTACAGATGAGGAAACTGAAGCAAGCAGGGTGAAGTGACTTGCCAAGGGTCACACAGCTGGGAGGTGTCTGAGGCTGGATTGAGCTCAGGTCTGGCTTCCTGAACTCTGGACACCATTCAGTGCAGCACCAGCTCCCCTCCTCTGGTCTGGACAATCAACAAAATAATAAACCAAATCCCAGTTTGTAAGATTTCCAGGGTGTAAGTGCTAGGGAGCCCTTTGGAGCTGGCTTTGGTACACTCCTGCTCCTAGGGCTATCTTATCTGCTCTTGCTCTACGAGGGTATTGCAGAGAGGGGAGAAAAGAGAACCATCTATTCCCTCCCCTTGCTGCACTTCGCAAGGGAAGGGAAATCCATTCCTCCAGCAATGGAATCCTCTGCTCAGAGCCTTCCCTTCTATCAGCCACCAAACACTCCCAGTGTGGCTCGGTGAGTACTTTATCACAGAAGTCAAGACTGGGCAGTCATCTAGGTCTTCTCCCAGGCACCGCGGCTCGCCACTCAGCCCTGGAATCTTAGCTTCGATTCCTTGTCACAGATGGGGTGACATTCACCCCCACCCCTTTATGCAGCTGGTCTATTATCTCTTCATTATGTGCCTCTCTGGAGTGGATGGGATACCTCCTGGACTACCCTGCTGACCTGGTCTTCCATGGTTCCCCAAAGCAGCACAGTCCCTTGTTTTAAAGTGCCCACTCTCAGAGGGATCATTCATGAAATTTTGCTGTCCTCTTAATGTTTGCAGTTTCTAGCACCCACCCCCTTGCATTTCTAGGAGCTGGCAGGCACTACCTGCGTGGAATTAGAGGGGTTTGTGAAGGAGGCACAGGCCTATCTAAGAAGGTGCTATGCTGGGGCCCCAGTCCTAGTTAGCCTCCAGGTTCTTCTAGTGACCCCCTTCATTTCCTCCCACCTAGCCCGATCCGAATAGCACAGTCAGACTAGGATCAAGGCATTGGAAGGCTTTATTAGATCATCCCAGGAAAGAATCCTCCTCCAGAGCCATCTCACCCACAGCCCACCCCGAACCTGCAGGGTCCCGGTGGCTTGGCTCTCTAGCCTGGGGCCAAGGAAGGGCCCAGGAGCATTACTTTCTCAGTAAGATTTTTGCGGGTGATGTAGCCCCTCCAGAAAGCCTGTAGTAGCATGGTTGCTGCCTGCTGCTTTTTCAGGGCTTTCCGAGTCTGATGGCCCCTCCAGAGAGCCTGGATCAACACAGCTGCCTTCTGTGGACTAAGTGGCCTGCAAGATTTCCGGGTGGACGATGAGCTCACCTTCCGCCCAGGCAGGCCCTCGTTGCCCTGGCCCAGGCCGAAGAACAGCCTCGTTTGGTATGTGCGCTGACAGATATGACAGGTCCTCTTGCTGGGCTGTGTGAGCAGTGTCAGGCAGGCAGGGCCGTTTTCGACTTTCCTCCGTAGGCTCTCACAGAGGACACAGGACTCTGGCTGGCAGGACTGGAAGCAGCGGTGGGGCGGGATCTGCTTGTCCAGGCTTCCCAGCTCTGGCAGTGGGTCCACTGTGAACCTCTGATTCATCAGCTTCTGACGCGTGCGGAAGCCTCTCCAGACCGCTTGGATCTTGGTAGCTGCTTTCATTTGGTTGGCCAGAGACTTCCGAACCTGGTAGCCCTTCCATGCGGCCTTGATGAGGGAGGCCGCTTGGTGCTGTACTTTCAGATGGCGACGGACTTTGTAGCCCCTGAAGGCGCCTTGGATCACAGAGGCTGCCCGATGTTTGGCTGCCTCCGATATTTCTGGTTTCCAGCTACGGCCATTCCGTGGGAGATGAGGTACTTCTTTCTCTGGAACTGAACTCGTTTTTGCTTCCCTATCCCCAGACCCCTGCCGCACAGTGCTTGGATTTACCTTTTGGGTCATAAGTCCCCAAAGCCCATTTGGGACAACCCCACTGGCACCAGATCCTGGATTAACAATTGGCACCACTCCACTGCCCACAAATGCTTGTTGCATGCTTGTCACCCCTGTGCCAATCACCTGTTTGGTCACTTTGCTGATGCTGGAGCTCTCCTGGATCAGGGCCAGTTTACTGGCAGGAGATCCCTGATACATACTTGGGGGCATCCCACTAGCCATGAATCCCTGGGGCACTCCACTTTCTGGGAACCTCTGGTAGATACTTGGTGTTACCCCACTGGCCACAGATTCTTGACTTGGAGTTACTCTTGTTACCCCACTGGCCACAGTTTCCCCACTCACACTTTGGGCCATGCCACTGGCCATGGATCCCTGATACAGCCTTGGGATTCCCCCACCGGCTATGTGTCCCCTACTCACACCTGGGACTACTCTTCTGGCCGGTGCTATCCCACCACCTGCAGATCCCTGATGTATGCTAGGGTCTATGCCCCTGGTCACAGATCTCCAACATGTTACAGCTGGGGCCAGCTCAGTGCTCAAGGATCCCCGATGTGCATTTGAGACCACCTCACTGGCCGTGGGTTTTTGATGTATACTTGAGGCTATCTTACCGTCCTTTAATCCCAAGTTCACATCTGGGGCCACTGCACGGGTCATGGATCCCTCAGGTCCTCTCAAGATGACTTCACTGGCCATAGATTGCTGACCTGCACTTGGGGTTAACTTACTAATCATAGGTCCCAAACTTACTCTTGGAACTACCCCTTTGGTCAGGGAACCCCAACTCACACTTTGGACTGGCCCAGTTGGCATGGATTCCTGACGAACATTTGGGGCTAACTCATAGGTCACAGATCTCCAATTTGATTTAGGGGCCACCCCACCACCCATGGATCCCTGATGTATACTTGGGGCTACTCCAATAGACACAGAACCCCAACTTGCATTCTGAGTTGCAGCATTGGCTTTGGATTCTTGAGGTACATTTGGAGTTACCCTAGTGGTCCCAGATTCTTGGACACTTGGGGCCACTCCACTAATTTCGGAAATTTTGTGTCCATCTGGGGCCACACTACTGGCCATTGGTCCTCTATGTACACATGGAACTGCCCCACTGGCCATAGCCATTGCACTGACCACAGGTCCCTGGTGTATATTAGGGGGTACTCCTCTGGCAACAGATTTCCCATTCTTATTCTGTGTTGCCCTACTGGATACAGATGTCCAGTGTACATTTGGAACCATTCCATTGACCATGGCTGATTGATGTATGTTTGAGACCTGATTTAAATGGGAAGTTATCCCTGTGGCCTCAGACTCCTGGGCCACATTGGAGTCCTCTTTGCTGGGCATAAATTTATAGAATAGGCTTGGTACCAACTGATTGGCTGCTAATTTCCAATGCACTTGTGTGGACACTGGTTTGGGCATAGGTCTTTGACACACAGCTGGGGCCACTCCACCAGTTATATATCTTTGACTCACATTTGGAATGTCTTCACTGACCATAGATCCCTGAGGCAAGCTTGGGGCTACCCCACTGACCCCAGATACCTGAAGCACTCTGCTGACCATAGATTCCTTGTGCACATTGACCACAGTTACCCGAGGCACACTTGAGATCTCCTCACTGACTACAGACCCTTGTCGAATGGTGGGGGCTGCCTTGCTGACCACAGATCCCCAGGGCATATTTAGGGCTGCCTCATTGAACTTGGGTCCTTGGCGCATATTTGGGCCCATTTCAATGGCTCTAGCTGCCCTATGTCCATTTGGGGCTAGCTCATTGATCCCAGATCCCAAGTGCACCTTAGATACCACCTCATTGACTTCAGATTGCCAGTGCACATTTGGAGTTAGCACACTGACCTCAGATCCCTGACTTGCAGTCCCCTCCCTAACCACTGGTATCCTGTGTGAACTTGGAATTACTTCCTGGGACAGATTCGGGCCTACTTTGTAGCTCATGAACTTCTGGGCTGCCTGAGGTTCTACTTTTGTGACCACAGAGCTCTGGTGCAAACTTGGGTCTCCCCAACCAGCTCTAACTTCCTGGGCATCATTTTGCCCTTCACCACAGATTGAAGAGCCTGCAGGTAGACTTAGTGTCACACTTCTAGCCATGAATTCCTTGTGTAGATTGGTTAGAGCCCCTCTGGGATTACTTGGGATACTCTCAGTAGTCATTGACTTCTGATACATATTTGGGGTCATTTCGATGACCTCAGAATCCCAGGGTATGCCTGAATCCACCCTGGAATTCATGGATCCCTGATATAGATTGTGGGCTACCCCACTGACCAGAGACTCCTGGTGTAGTACCTTAGTGACCATGGGACCTTGGTGAGGACTTGAGGTCCGGTTGGCCAAAGAATGCTGATATAGACTTGGGGCCTGTGCACTGACTCCAGAATCCTGGTGGAGACTCTGTCCCATGTCCCTAGTAGTGTACACTTGGTGTATAGTAGAATCAGATTTGTCCCTAAACACCTGTTGCATACTCGAGGTTAATCCACTAGCCATGGACCCCTGGCATAAACTAAGGGGCAACTTACTGGTCATAGACATGGGATGTAGATTTTGCTCCATTCTACTGGTTGCAGACACTTGGTGTAGACACGGGGTCACCTCACCGGCCACAGATGTCTGGTGTAGCCTTGGCTCTATGCCACTGACTAAAGACTGCTGGGATAGACTTGGGGTCACCCCATTGGCCCCAGACATCTGGTACATATTTGGAGGTATAGCAGTGGTCATAGATCTGTTATAGAGACTTGAGGGTACCCCAGTGATTATAGATACCTTGGAGAGATTTGGGGTAACTCCACTAGCTACCAGGGCCTGGTTTAGACTTGGAATTATCCTATTCTCCATAGATCTCTGGGAGATACTCTGGACCAACCCACTGGCCTCAGGCCCTTGATATATAGTTGAGATCTCACTGGCCATAGATGCCTGGTATAAACTTGGGTCTGTCCCACTGTCTCTAGGATCCTGAAATATACTTGGTACCACTCTGTTGGCTCCTGAGACCGGACATAGGCTTTGAGCCACTCCTTTGACTACAGATGGCTGGTGCAAACCTGAAGTCACCTCCCTGACCACAGGTGGCTGATGCAAACTTAGAATTACCCCACTGGCCACGGGTCCCTGGTGTAAATCTGGCGTTATCCTGCTGGTCACGGATGGTTGTTGTAATCTTGGGATCACTTCATTGATCATAGATGTCTGGTGTAGGCCTAGCTTGACTCCACTGGTCCCATTTTCCTGGGACAAATTTGGTATCTCCCTATTGGCTACAGGTGGCTTGTCCAGAGTAGAGAGTACCTCATAACCCACAGGGCCCTGCAACAGACTTTGGACAAGCCCACCAGCCCCAGTCCCCTGAGGCATATTTGGGGCCATTCCACTGGCCATGGGCTCCCAGGGCAGCATTGAGCCCAATCCATTACGCATGAATACTTGGCGGACCCTTGGTCCAGCTCCTGCATGGGCCTCAGAATCCTGATGAAGGCTGGGGGCCACCCCCCTGATCACTTTGGTCTCCGCAGAGAGTAACGTCTCTTCACGGGAAATTTTCTGCCAAGTGTTCTCCCTTGAGATGACCACTTTTGACGTGCTGGGGTCTGCTGAGAAGATGGCACTCTTTGCCTCTCTCACATCTACCTGACTTGTGACTTGTGTGACCCCACCTCCTGCTTCCTTTCGGGGTGGGCTTGAAGCAGCTCCCACATCCAAAGGTCTTGCCATAGCTGCCAACACACCCTGGGATAGGACCTGGCTGAGGACGGTCCTCAGCTCCCCCTGAGAGAGGGCCTGGTTGAGAGCAGCCCTCTCGTCTTTGGTGAGAGTCTTGTCCAGGGCTTCCGCCAGGTTCCCTTGGCACATGGCTTTGGCTACCTCTGCCCGCAGCTCCGCCGGGAACAGGGCTCTCCAAACACTTGTACCCAGAGCCCCACGAGACAGGGCCTTAGTCAGCATGGGCCCCAGCATCCCTTGAGGTAAGTTCCTGGCCATGCCAGAGCCCAGCACTTCTTGGGGCAAGGCACTTGTTAAAGCTGTCCTCACCTCTCCCGGGCAGAGAGCCTTGGAAAGCACAGTGCCCAGCTGTTCCTGAGAGGGCTTAGTCTTTTCCGCCTGGGACTCTCCCACCCTATTCTCTTCATTTTCCATTTCTGGAGCTGCCATTATCCCTCCCTGGTCTTGGAGAGCCTGAGCTTTGGTCATATCCGTGTCTCTCCAGGACACAAATTTGGATATGAGTGGCCCTGTCTGTGCCTGCAATGGTGTCTTTGTCCCTGTGGTCCCCTGTTGGACTTGGGATGAGATTTGAGTCTCCAGGTACGACTGAGGTGGACCCTGGATTATCTTCATCTTCAAATCACTCTGAGATGGGACTTGGGTTGCCTTAGCCTCCAAATATTCATGGGATGGGATTTGGGTCGCCTTGACCTCCAGGTGTGCCTGAGATGGCATCTTGGTCACTCTAGCTATGGAATGTGTCTGGGAAGACGACTCATTCACTCTAACTGTGGGTGAGGCTGAGGATGGTGTCTTGGCCATTTCAGCTGTGGAATGTATTTGAGAAGAGGATTTACTCACCCTAGATGTGGAATATACCTGAGAAGGAGCCTCAGTCACCTCAGCTCTCAGATGTGACTGGAATGGAGCCTTGTTGGCTCCAGACGACAGATGTTCCTCATGTGAGACTTTGGCTACTCCAGCTGGGGAATGTGCCTGGGGTGGGGCCTTGGTCCCTTCAGCTGCCAGATGTAACTGGGATAAGGTTTTGTCTGCTCTAATTACGGGGTGTTCTTGGGTTGGGGCCTTGGCCACTCTTCTTGCCAGATTTTCCTTGTGTGAGACTTTGGTCACTCCAGCCGTGGGTTGTGCCTGATGTAGGATCTTGTTCACTACAGTTGCCAGATATGACTGGGATGAGGTCTTGGCTGTGCCAGTCATGGGTTGTGCCTGGTGTGGGGCCTTATGCACCGTGGCCGCCACATGTGGCTGTGACGAGGCCTTGGCTGTTCCAGCTGCGGTTTGTGCCTGGTGTGGGGCCTTGTTTGCCAGAGCTGCCACATGTGTTTGCGGAGAGGTCTTGGTTGTTTCAGTCATGAGTTGTGCCTGGCGTGGGGGCTTGTTCACTGGGGCTGCCACATGTGGCTGTGGTGAGGTCTTGGCTGTTCCAGCCATGGATTGTGCCTGGTGTGGGGCCTTGTTCGCCGTCGCCGCCATATGTGGCTGCAATGAGGCCTTGGCTGTTCCAGCTACGGGATGTTTCTTGGATGAGACTTTGGTCACTGCAGCTGTGGAATGTGCCTGGGGTGGGGATGTGGTCCCTTCAGCTGCCAGATTTGCATGGGATAGGACCTTGGTCTCACTAGTTGAGAACTGTGTCTGGGACGTGGTCTTGGCTACTTCCGCTACCAGATTTGCCTGAGATGGGATCTTCGTCATTCTAGCTATGTGTTCCTGTGGTAATCTAGCTGTGGGTGGTGCCTGAAATGGGGCCTTGGCCTCTCCAGGTGTAGGATATATCTGAGAAGAGGTCTTGACCACTGTATCAGTAGGATATGTTTGGGGTGGGACCTTGATCTCTCTATCATTGAAATGTCTTTGAGATTTAGTGGTCTCAGATTTAGCCCCTAGCTGATCCTGAGACTGTATCCAGTATGCTCTGGTCTCTAGATATGACTTGGAAAGTTGGTCCTGGGAGACTTGTGTCTGTCTGTCCACGGTACTTTTGGAGGAATGGCTCTCAGTGGTAGAGATCGTTACTTTCTGCTGATGGAAATGTACCAGTGGTCTCCAAAGCTGCTTTTGGTCTTTACTGGTCTCAGTCACTGTCTCAGAAGTTATTACATTCTGTGAACAAGAAGTCCCTCTGAAGACCCGGATCTGTTCCTGTGCTGTGCGCCCTGGCTCCCAAGCAGACTGCAGATTCTGGTGGACACCAAGCTGATGCCAGGTATTCTCAATGGCCTCTGCTGCCTTGCCTGCCTCTGACTGCACAGACATCTTCTGTCGAAGATGGTGGCCTCGCCAGGCTGACTGGATAACTGTGGCTGCTTTGGTCAACATCATATCCATCTCGTCTACCAGCACATTACTAAAAGGCTGAGTTTTGCGGTAAAAACTGAGCATATAGGGCTGGAGATAGTAGGTGGGGATCTCGTGGAAAATACCGCCATGCTGCAGCTGAACCTGAACCTGAGCCTTTTGGTTCAATGGGGGCTTAGGAGGGCAAGAGTCTTGAGTGCAGCTTAGCCTTTGACCCTTGGATTGTCTTGACTCCTTTATATTCTTGGTAAATTGGGAAGTCAGCCTTGCCTGGAAGAATATGTAATAATAATCATATGAAACATTGGACATTTGTATCATGCCTTAGGTTTCAGAAAAATTTATATGCTTCATCTCATTTCATCTTGATAATCTCATGAGATTAGTTCTATATTAGTTCTATTAGTTCCATTTTATGGATGAGCAAACTGAGTCCAAGAGAAACTAAAAGTGAATTAATTACCTATTTTCACACAGCTATTAAATGCCAAAGATGAGATTTGAACCTATGTCTCTCCTAACTCCAGGCCCAGGACTCTCTCCATTGCATCATTTTCTCAACTCTCATTTTCCTCTATTTCTGTGCAGCCTTTGACACTATTGATCACTCTCTGGTCAAACAGAGGAGTTTATATTTGATCCTAGAAGTAATAGAGAGCCATCGGAGTTTACTGAGTCAGGGAGTGGCGAAGTTAGACTTTCACTTTAGAAGGCTCACTTTGGCAGCTGAGTAGAGGATGGATCTGAGTGGGGAGAAACCTGAGGCATGGAGACCACCCAGCTAGAGGTTATGAGGGCCTACATCAGAGTGGTGGCAGGGTCAGAGGAGAGAAGGGGATATATACAAAAAGTGTTATGAAGGGAGAAATGATGAGTTGGCGACAGATAAGGCATTTGGTGTGAGTGTGAGGATTTTGGAATTATACTGAAGTTTTGGGTCTGGGTGACTGGGAGGAGGGGGTGCCCTAGACAGTAATAGGGAAGAGGGAGGGAAGTATGGATGGGAGGAGAGGATGAATTCAGTTTGGGATATGTTGAGTTTGAGGTACCTTTGGGATATCTAGTTTGAGATATCTTAAAGGTGATTTGAGAGTTACTAGCTCACCATTCCCTTGCCTCCCTTTGAATTGTTACTAGAATCATAGTCTTCCTGCACAGATGTGACCATGTCAAGCCTATGCTCAAAACTCCTCAATTGTCTAACTTAGCCAAGTTCCTCCATTTACCTTAGCATAAACTGACAGGGTCAGAATACAGGGGCAAGCTCAGTCACTCATGATTTGGATAAGCTGCAGTGGGCAAAATCTGATCTGAAAGCTTATTGTCCTGGGAGGGAAGGGGGCACACAAAGCAGAGGGGAGCTCCATGTATGTGTATACATAATATATGTATATATTTACACACATATATTACATATGTAGATATATATGTATATGTATGTACATATATACACGTATATGTACATATCTTATATGCTCCCCAAGTCATTATCTATCCACACCTTCAATGCTAAGATCTCTCACGATATAATTTTATCTAATATATACTATGTATGTACATAATATATAACATATTTGAGAGATATTAAACATGTATCTCTCTCTCTCTATATATATATACATTATATGTGTGTGTGATTTGGGGAGGGAGCACATAACATGTAGCACCTGGGGCATTCCACTCTTACAAGAAGGGCCCCCCAGAAAAAACTACCCCAGGTTCAAGGTCCTTTTTGTAGGTCTGCATCTACTCAAAATCATAGCTCATAAGCCCCCACCCGTGTGTTTTCTTTTGCTAGTCAGCCAGAGGACCCAAATGGTTCAAAGCAAAGTTAAATCATGAACTAGCGCAGAAAAAAAAGTGCCAATAGAAAATTTCTTCCATAAACCTGGGATACCTTCTCCCTCAAATGCATAAATCATCAGTGGTAAGAGTATAAATACCTAAGGCCTACATGTGGAAGGACACACACACACACACACAGGCACACACAAATACACACAGGGAATATATGTCAGAACAACTCATTTTTTTGGTGATGTCCTGTGGCTTCTTCCTAGGTCTGCTGCCTTGTGAATGTTCTTCTTTCTTGGGTCTATTACTGGGCATTACATCATCTCTTTGCTGCTCTCCACTAGGTATCACAATGCTGATGCTTTCCAGCTCTCTTAGTGTCCTGGACCTTTCTACTCTCTTCTAGGCTAGTTTTGAGGTCACTGATTGATATTATTCCCTACTATTGCCTTCCGGGTCTCATTTCCTTCAGTCATCTACTCCAGTGTGCTGAGTGTAGTAGTTCAAGAATGTCTTCATGATAAAAACAGGCTAAGTGGTCTTTAACCATAATTAGAGGATATAAGCCACCATACCAAGCCTACAAATTCCCCTGACTAAGATTAAGTTTGTTCTGGGGCAGCTAGGTGGCGCAGTGGATAGAGCTCTGGCTTGGAGGCAGGAGGACCTGAGTTTAAATCCAGTCTCAGATACTTGACACTTACTAGCTGTGTGACCTTGGGCAAGTCACTGAACCTTGATTGCCTAGCCAAAAAGCAAAAAAAAAAAAAAAAAAAAGATCAAGTTTTTTTCTTTTAACTTCTTTGTCTAACACTAAACTCGTAGTCCTTTGTCACATCATAGGTCAGAGGTGAGGAACCTGAGGCCTCAAGGTCACATGTGGCCTTCTGGGTCCTTGGGAGTGGCCTTTTGACTGAGTCCAAGTTTTACAGGACAGATCCCTTCTTTAAGGGAATTTGTTCTGTGAAGTTTGGATTCAGTCACAGGGCTTCACTTGAGAACCTAGAGGGCCAAGTGTGTTTTCAAAGCCACAGATTCCCCACCCCTGTCATAGGTACTTAATAAATTCTCTTCAAATTGAATTGCATTTGTCCCAGACAACTATCAAGGTCAGAAATTCCCAAAGATATCCTCTGGTTTAGCGTGCATATGAATTTGACAAACAAACAAACAGGTATATGAAACCAGAACAAAAGGTATTTGAAAAAGGCAAGGTCATTGTTCTCTACCCGCTGGAGACTAGTCTTCTTGCAATTATTATGTATATCTGTTGGGGAAAAAACAAAAAACCCAAACCCAAAAACCCATCCTCCAGCTTTGGTGGTATATTTTGGCCAATAGAAAATCTCAAATTCCCTACAAATACTGCCTCCTATCTAAGTCAATACAAACATTTCCTGGGTACTGGTGCCTCACACTTTTCTGCCATGATTTGCCCTGATTGTTGTGTTTCTCCTAGTTTCTGTATGCCTGCCTGTACTCATGACCATCTTACCTTATTGATGACCTTCTACCTGCCTACACTCCCAACATTTCATATTCCTGGTTCTAGCAGGCAGATTCCTTCTATATCCTGTGCTACTGCTGAAGGTTCCAATATTAACATGTTTTAATACAGCTTTTGTCATGTTAGCTAATCTACACCAGTCTACAATGCCTTCCTGTTTCTCAAAAGATCACAGAATTACAGAATGGAAAATGTTCTGTAGGTTAAACTTCAGAAGACTGAAAGGCATAGAAGGGTCCTTGGAACACAGAATGTCAGAGCTAGGAGGAGCCTTAAAACATGGAATGTCAGAGTTGGGGGGTGCCCTTAGAACACAGAATTTCAGAACTGGGAGGGCCCTTTGGACAGAAAATGTCAGAGCTAGAAAGGCTCTTGACAAAAAGGATGCCAGAGCAGGAAAGGACCTCAGAGATTTTTTAAAAATAAGTCATTGTAGGGGGCAGTTCAAAGTTTAGAGAGGTTTATGCCAGTCACTTATACACAATAGACAAGAATTTGAAACAAAGATAGATGACAGTATCTTAAAACAGTTCTCCCACCTAGGGGATTTTGTTCCTCCCTTTCTCTTGTATGAGAAGCAAAAGTAATCTTCAGGTTAAGAAAACTAGGGAGCCTTAGGCCCAGCTAGCCCTTAATCAGTTGCTGGGGGACAACCCCTCAAATGATCTTTAATGGGTACATTTTGATAATTGGACATTAAGAAGGGCATTACAGGGACTTTCCGATCCTAAATCAAAGAGAATCTCAGTTAAAAAATTAGACTTCATACCTGGGGCTATGAATTTGGCATCATATTTAGCTGGTTGGCTATTCTGTGTTCCAAAGGACTTAAGTCTGGAGTAAAGACTCTCTTTTTGAAGAGGACAAGTCTTTCGCAGACAAGGTTCTGGAAACTAACTGAATCTTCTAAGGAAGAAAAAAAGATAAGGACTTATCCTTCTTCTGATTACTGGGTAGGAGAGGACCCTACTTATTTAAAAGATCTCTAACTTAATTGTCCAGGCTAAAAGCTAAGACAGATGTGTTGACAGCCACTCTTCCTCTATGGGAGAAGAGGTAGTACCACAATTAAGGATGATGTTTAAAGGCAGAAGCTGGATACAGAGGGCTGATTGACAACCTGGTGCCCACTGAAGCTGTGTCTGGAAAGGGATAGTCATGACCACATTGTCCCAGAAAGCATCATCCAGCAGACAGTTCATGAGACCGGCAGACATAGAGATGATATGCCATGGTCATATGACCTGTAAATTCTACACACTGAGAAAACTGAGGGACTGGAGGGGATTAGGACCCCAAAGAAATTGGGTGAACCACACTGACTTCATCCTGTGACTCAGTTCTGGAGCTAGCTCAGTTCCATTTCTATTCAATTATAGGTCTAGTCCAACTTCTGTCTTGTGAGAAAATTTTATTCAGTTGTGGTAATTGGGAGAGGACTTTGTTGCATTGTTTGAATCTAGTCCCGCACGGTTGGGAAGCTGGACCACCTGCACCTCTGCTTAGAGATCCTTAACTAAGAACGTAGGCTATGCTGACTAGAAACCTGGTCAAATCCAAAGGTTGTTGCAAGGAGTTTTCTCACAATTGTACATCTCAAGCAACCCATGCGTCTTATCTGAAAACTGGCCTGAACTGATTAATCAGTTACTGCTTCCATGTTCCTTTGATAGTTTACAGACACCTGGGGGAAGTGGGACATCTCTTTTTCTGAATTCAGGGAATTGCACCTGATCTTTCCTCCAATTAGAAATCAGATTACTTAATATTGTATTGTTTCCTTAGTTGGCCTTATTTGATTTTTTTCACGTAAAATAGTCTATCTCCCCCTGTATTTGGGGTCCAGCCCTAAGCTGAGGAAGGGTCCTGGTCCTAATTTGTTGATCAGTTGGCATGCACTGCTTAATACATCAGTGTGCTTGGAAGATCAAACCTTTGTTTCCTCAGTTATTTCATCTTTCGCTGCCACAGTTTTTGGTGAGCTATGCTAGGTTGAGTTAGGGCTCAGACCCCAACTGACAGCCTTCCAGAAAAACTCCCTAGAGAGCTCTAGGAAAACTGCCTTTGGAGGTTGGACTCCTGCTCTTGAACCCATTTTCTTCTGAGCCCTGGTAAGTTTTGGAGTATTTTTATATTTTAAGTCTTGGAAGTTGTTCCAAGAATTGGAAAAGTTTAGATTTAGCTCTTTTAGGGCCTACCCTGAGGATTCGGACATTTTTTTAGATTGGGATCTGATTTTAGGTTTGCCCCAAGGAGTGGGGTGATTTAGAGTTCAGGTTTACCCCAAGGATTGGGGATGTTTAGGTTTGGATTTTGGTGCCCTTATGAGATGGACTCCCCAAGGAAGAGGGGAATTTAGGTTGTTTTTTTCCCAGAAAATTTTAGGTTTGTCCCAGGGTTTGGGGAAGTTTAAGTTTAGTTCTTTTGGGGCTTTTTAGGGATTTTTAAGGATTGGGGGCTTTTTAAAAAGGTTTGGATCTAGTTTTAGGTTTGCCCAAAGGAATGGGGTGGTTTAGAGTTCAGGTATGCCCCAGGGATTGGGGAAATTTAGGGTTAAATCAGGTTTGCCCTAGAGATTGGGGAAATCTGGAATTGCCCCAGGGATTGGGGAAGTTTAGGGATTTATTTGGTTTGTCCCAGGGAATAGGGTGATCGAGAGTTAAGTTTTGGGTTTTCAGAAGTAGCAACAGAAGATGGGTTCCAGCGGTAGTAAGATACCTGTCTCCTTTGGATAGATTTTTGATAGCATGGGACCAGGGAATTCCCCTGATAGTTATGAGAATAACTAAACAACATGCAATTGAGCTATGTAACAATTGCCATAAACTATAATAGATTCAGCTGGTAATTTGTTTTAACTAATTCAGCTCTTATAATTACTGCAAGGTAAAGAAATTAAGACTAGTCATTAAAAATCTTATTCTGATCAGATGAACTTTTGGTTTTTCTGGTCAGTTTTAAGTGATGATTTCTGCCCACCTCTCCCTAAAAGTGGGAGAAACCTTGGCAAGTTACTTTTTTTCCTGTCATTTCAGCTTTGGCCACATTGGAATTACAGAAATGAAGTCAGATAATAAAAGTTTGTGGAACTACTAAGAACATCTTAGTGGATTTTGGACGTTTGGAGATGAAGGAGCTTGGAAATTAATAATTTTAAGAATGCAAGGAGAATTCCTGAGACTTTGGGTAATTCCAGGAATTTACCCCCTTCTGAAATATCATAGTGAGGTTTTGGTTATTATTCTGTAGAATTTGTTTTAAGGAAAAATAAGAATTAAATTCTGTAAAAGTTTTAAGGGTAAACAGATTTTAGACCACCCTCTTCCCACCCCACCCCCAAGATTGCTAGCCCTATTGTTTTAGTGTAATGAAGGCAGGTAGCTGGTTTGAAAGCAATCCCAGAATGAAGAAACAAAAAAAAAAATACAGTTTGCATTTTAAAATTTATCTGAAACTTGAGTATCTCTTCCTTGACTATGAAAAGAGAAAAGATTATTTAAATCAGAGACCACCCATTTTATCCCAATTCAGACACTCCCTGTGACTCCCTCAGTTTAGAGACCCTCCTCTTCTGACCCTGTTAACCTTTCTCATGTCAGATCAGGTTCCCAATAAAGGTGTTGGGAAAAAATGCTGGAAAAATGCAGGAAAATCTGAGTTACATTCCAGTCTTGGAAAATGTATTAGTTGTGTGATCTTGAGCAACCCTCTTCTTTGTTTGCTCAGTTTACTGATCTATAAAGAGGAAAATAATAATGGTACCCACCTTCCAGGGTTGTCATGAAGATTAAAATGATATGATTGTGAAGTGCTTAACAGAGTGACAGGTGTATGGTAAACTCTATATAAATATTGACTATTGTTATTATTATTATTATTTCTTTAATTGGATGTAATTGTTCCATGCTTGATAACTCTATACCAGGTTTTAGATATGATTAGTATAAAATCCCAAAGGCAATAAGATTAATGATTTTCTATATATGATAATTTGGAAATACATTCAGCTAAACTGACATCATCTGGTAGTAAGTTTTGCTTCATATTTTATATAAATGGTGTTATGTATGTTATTATTGTATTTCTAAATTCTCTAGTAAAAATTCTTTTTAAAAATTTAATGGTATTTTATTTTTTCCAATTACATAGTTTCAACATCCGTTTTCTGAAAGATTTTGAGTTCCAAATTTTTCTCCCTCTCTCCTTTCCTCCTTCCCTCCCCTCCCCAAGACAGCAAGCAATCTAATATAGGTTATACATGTGCAATCGTGTAAAACATTTCCGCATAGTCATGCTGTGAAAGAAGAAACCAAAAAAAAGGAAAAAAACCAAAACCCCCTCCCCCCAAAAGAGAAAATAGTGTGTTTAGATCTGCATTCAGACTCCATTAGTTTCTTCTCTGGATGTGGATAGCATTTTCCATGAATCTTTTGGAATTGTCTTATATTGCTGAGAAGAGCTAGGTCAATCATAGTTGATCATTGCGCAATGTTACTCTTACTGTGTACAATGTTTTCCTGGTTCTACTTCTCTTTGCATCAGTGCATGTAAGTCTTTCCAGGTTTTTCTGAAATCAGACTGCTCATCATTTCTTATAGCACAGTAGTATTCCATTACATTCACATACCACAACTTGTTCAGCTATTCCCCAATTTATGGACATTCCCTCAATTTCCAATTCTTGGCCACCACAAAAAGAGCTGCTATAAATTTTTTTGTACATGTAGGTCCTCTTCCCTTTTTATGATCTTTTTGGAATGCAGACCTAGTAGTGTTATTACTGGATCAAAGGGTATGCACAGTTTGATTGCCCTTTGGACATAGTTCCAAATTACTCTCCAGAATGATTGGATCAATTCACAACTCCAACAATTCATTAGTGTCCCAATTTCCCTATATCCTTTCCAACACTTATTATTTCTCTATTCTGTCACATTAGCCAATCTGATAGGTATAAGGTGGTATCTCAGAGTTGTTTTAATTAGCATTTCTCTAATCAATAGTGAGTTAGAGTGTTTTTTCATATGATTACAGATAGCTTTCATTTCTTCATCTGAAAACTACCTGTTCATATCCTTTGATCACTTATCAATGGGGGATGACTTGTATTCTTATACATTTGAGTCAGTTCTTTATATATTTGAGAAATACTTGCTGTAAAAATTGTTTCCTAGCTTTCTGTTTTCCTTCTAATCTTGGTTGCATTGGTTTTGGTTGTGGGAAAACTTTTTAGTTTAATAAATTATATTGTAAAATTTGAGAGATCATTTTATCAGAAATGCTGTTAGAAAAACAACTGTTTTTTTAACCTGGATGTTGTTAGATTATGAATTAAGCTTTTAAAAGAATGTGATTCAAATAGATATTTGAAAACAAATATTTAATGGAGTATATTTTGTTTTAAGACAGATAATGATAATAATTAATTACTATAATAAAGAAGGAGTTTTCATTTGAAAATTTTTGGTTATCGCTTATGAGAATTATGAAAGTATATAGAGTGGTTTAAAGATGTAACTTCAATACATTAATATAAATCAACTATCAGAAATTTGCCATATGTCTGAAACATTAGAATGTGGTTGTTGTTTTTTTTTCTTTTGGTGAGGCAATTGGGGTTAAGTGACTTGCCCAGAGTCACACAGCTAGTAAGTGTTATGTGTCTGAGGCCGGATTTGAACTCAGGTCCTCCTGATTCCAAGGCCGGTACTCTATCCACTGCGCCACCTAGCTGTCCCAGAATGTGGTTGGTTTTAACTTATAAATAAAAGACAAATGAAATGTTAGCTATTAAGGAAATATAAGTAAAGATATTCAAGCTCTAAGTTGTGGTTAGTGAAATTTTGCTATTTGAGGTAAAAACTCTTGGGACTATAATTTATTGTTGTTTTGAGTTTTGATTACAGGGATGGTTGTCTGAATTGTCATGAAGGCAGTAATAGAAAATGGCATGTGCTGCAGTCTGAAAACTGCTAAAGGTGGATGTCTGTGCCTAGGAAAACTTTTGGAGATGACCTTCACATGGCCTAAGGTAGGATCTTCTTGACTCAGTTTCCCCATTGTGTTATTATCCTTTCTGAATGAGAATTTTCCTCATCTGGGTCATCCTGAGCCTTGCTTGTGATACCCTGTGACTGCATAATTGGCTGTCAAATATGACTCATTCCTGGAATCAAACAGAGCTAAGGGAGTTTTTCCCCTG